ACATATGCAATAATACATGTACTTTAATATGTTACTTAATACAGCCTTGCAAATATTTAAAGAGGACCTCTCTGAGATACTGTGGCTCACTTGCACAATTTTATTAAGCAAAAATTAAATACAGTATTTATAAAGGTATCTACTCACAGCTCAGACAGCAAAATGATGGGTTTAAGATAATTCAATCCACTAGGTTCTCTGTTATCAAAAGTAGAACACTTCAGGAAATAAAAATGTGTCAAAGCAACTACTTGGCAATTATTTTATCAAATTATAGTCTACCTAGAATATTGCATGTATCCATGTTAAAGTTTAAATATGATAAATATAAATTTGTTGTCTATAGGCTTTCTCTTATTTTTCCCCAAAGTGAACAAGCTTGAACCAAAATGGCTTTCATGAGGGGTCAACCAGTTTGGCTTCAACTTGCATAGCCCAAAAGGTGTGACCCAAGGCAATAAGCAGAGTAAAGCTTTTGTTGTTAAGGCCACAGAGCCTTTTAATCTTCCCTATGTTCTCTGGCTACTAGCAGTTACACACAACATACACGCACGCGCACGCACGCACACACACACACACACACACACACACACACGAGAAATGCATAGTTCCCACTTGCTTTTCCATCAGGACTATGGAAACTGCAGCTGAAATCCTATCAGAAACTTTAAATAATTTGGTCAATGGAGTAAGATGTCTCTCTTATTACTTATACTTTCCTACATATGAAGAAAACATTAAGGGAAGTCCAGTGATGAATGGTGGTAATTGTTTCCCACTATTCCTGTGCTTTTACCTGTAGTGGGTTTTCAAATCACAAGTTGAATGGAGAATTTTGATGAACAAATTACAGGTGAACAAGTTGAGGCACAGTGATATGAAGAGACTAACCCCAAAATGTCTAGTAATAGTGAATCTATATATACCATGGAGTACTATTCAGCTATAAGAAACAATGGTGATATAGCACCTCTTGTATTTTCTTGGATAGAGCTGGAACCCATTCTACTAAGTGAAGTATCCCAAGAATGGAAAAATAGGCACCACATGTACTCACTAGCAAATTGGTATTAACTGATCAACACCTAAGTGGACATATAGGAATAACATTAATTGGGTGTTGGGCAGGTGGGGGGGGAGGGGATGGGTATATACATACATAATGAGTGCAATGTGCACCAACTGGGGGGTGGACAGGCTTGAAGCTCTGACTTGAGAGGGGAGGGGGAACAAGGGCAATATACGTAAACTTAACATTTGTATTCCCATAATATGCTGAAAAAAATAAATTTAAAAAATAAAAAACATCAAAAAAATCACTTGTGGTTAAATGGATATATTCTGTGAAATTCCATATGTTCTTTGGGTATACTTTTCTATGTGTATGTTATACTTCAATTAAAAAGTTTACCAAAAAAATAATGAATCTAAACAAATTCTATTCCATTACATAATGAATGTATCCTAAACTAAGTACCACCACACTGTTAGGTGATCAGTTAATACCAATTTGCTAGTGAGTACATGTGTGCCCTATTTTTCCATTCTTGTGATACTTCACTTAGTAGAATGGGTTCCAGCTCTATCCAGGAAAATACAAGAGGTGCTATATCACCATTGTTTCTTATAGCTGAATAGTACTCCATGGTATATATAGATTCACTATTACTAGACATTTTGGGTTAGTCTCTTCATATCACTGTGCCTCAACTTGTTCACCTGTAATTTGTTCATCAAAATTCTCCATTCAACTTGTGATTTGATAACCCACTACAGGTAAAAGCACAGGAATAGTGGGAAACAATTACCACCATTCATCACTGGACTTCCCTTAATGTTTTCTTCATATGTAGGAAAGTATAAGTAATAAGAGAGACATCTTACTCCATTGACCAAATTATTTAAAGTTTCTGATAGGATTTCAGCTGCAGTTTCCATAGTCTGATGGAAAAGCAAGTGGGAACTATGCATTTCTCGTGTATGTGGTGTGTTTGTGTGTGTGTGTGTCGCGTGCGCGCGTGCGTGTATGTTGTGTGTAACTGCTAGTAGCCAGAGAACATAGGGAAGATTAAAAGGCTCTGTGGCCTTAACAACAAAAGCTTTACTCTGCTTATTGCCTTGGGTCACACCTTTTGGGCCATGCAAGTTGAAGCCAAACTGGTTGACCCTCATGAAAGCATTTTGGTTCAAGCTTGTTCACTTTGGGAAAAATAAGAGAAAGCCTATAGACAACAAATTTATATTTATCATATTTAACTTTAACATGGATACATGCAATATTCTAGGTAGACTATAATTTGATTAAATAATTGCCAAGTAGTTGCTTCGATCATTTTTATTTCCTGAAGTGTTCTACTTTTGATAACAGAGAACCTAGTGGATTGAATTATCTTAAACCCATCATTTTGCTGTCTGAGCTGTGGTAGATACCTTTATAAATACTGTATTTAATTTTTTGCTTAATAAAATTGTGCAAGTGAGCCACAGTATCTCAGAGAGGTCCTCTTTAAATATTTGCAAGGCTGTATTAAGTAACATATTAAAGTACATGTATTATTGCATATGTATACACTTTTCATTCCCAGACAAAGCCATGATTATTCAAGAGGTTTAAAATAACATGCACTAATTTATTATCGCTGGTTATAAAGACTTTGGAAGGGTGCACTGAACATCATGTTAGCATTGATGTGTCAATCTTTTAGTTGAAGGATGGCACGTCTGAATCCTAGAACAGCCTTAATTAACAGAAAATAATTAGCATCATTTCCCCAGCGGAGAATAGGAGGCTTTTTTTTTTTTCTTTTCCAACAGAATCCATTGATTGATAATTAAGGAGGAGTTAGTTGTAATAAAACTCCAGTATTGCAATTTTAATTGGCCTTTCAGGACATTTTACAGTTACAGTTACTTTGTTCCAGGCGTTTTCTGCCTTTTGAAGAGTTTTAATAAGAATCTCTCCTCTCCAAAGCCAGGGCTCTGCAGGTGACGAAGGAAGAGTCGGTAGTAGCATGCAGGAGCACATTAGTATCAGGTGGGCAGAGCCGCGGCTGGAGAGCTTTCATTTGCTTTTAAGTTTTTGTGGTCACCACACTTTGTCCTTCGGGGCTAA